GTATATTGCGGGGGGGGGGGGGGGNGTGAACTTTATTTGAAATAATTATGGACTTTTTGTCTCTCTGGCAGTAATTGAAACCCATTTACCAGTATTCCTAGGAAAAAGTGGGGGGCTTAATTTTACGTTCAAATACCCAAGGTAACATGCTTGTTCCCCACCAGATACATATAATATGGGTATTTTAATATCTCAAAAGGATATGATAAACATTGAGAAACAAACTAACTTTGACTTAATTTCAGAATGGATTTGGCATCTCCCTGCAGTTGTTAAAGCCTACAGTATGTACAGTTTTAATTCCTATGGTAAATTGGGGCATTTTAGATTTTATTCAAATACCTAAGAATACACACTTGTTCCTCTCCACATATAGTTATTCTGTAAAAAGTGTGGAAAATATTAAAGATCGATTTTTATTCGCTAATGGAGAATACATCCCTGGCAGTAGTTAATTCCAAAGTAATTATACAGCAAATTGCGGCCATGTTGGAATTTCTCAAAACGTCCATGCAAGGACAACTGCTTGATACCAATCTCATATAAATTAGACGGGTAATAAAGATGCGAAACCGATGCCAATCAAACTTAGTTCAATAATGAGCACTGTTTTCCCCAGGCATATATTCATGTAGCTGATAACCACAAATTTTTATTGGAAATGGCAGCCGCCTCGGATTATCTCAAAACGCCGAAGGTAAAAACAATTTTGCCACCATATACATATTGTAGGGGTACTGAAGATATGGAAAACACTGGGAAGCAATCTAATTCTAATTACGGGCGCTATATATGCAATTGCTTTTCAATTAAAGTATAAATTACTAGGACTAGAGGTGTCGTTGAAAAGAGTTGATACTTGTATTTATTGGACAGAACAATCGCATGCTAATGAATAGTTAAGAGCGTATGTGTTTTCCAAGAAAACCGCCTGCTGCGCTTACGTACTTCATTATCAGTGAACAAGATTGTGTTATGATTCCAAGTAGAATCTAGGTATATTAATACAATGGTTTGATGCGGCGAAACAACAATTGCATATAAAACCCGATATACTTAACATCTAAACAGGACTTCTTGATGGTTTGATGTGGACATTGATACCCAGAAAAGAACTTTTTCAGTTTCCTGTAAGTGAAAGACACATGTATTTATTATTTTTTGCCTTAATTGTGACAAGCTGTACATTGACAGTTGCAGTTTCCCCAAATTACGTCAGTGATTTAGTTAATGGCAGTTCAAACAGTGGTAACATTCGAATTGGGGTTTTAATTCCATTCACTGGTAAGGGTGGAAAAGGCACACAACAGGCAGGCGCAGTCTTAGTTGCAGTCAATGAAATTAACAAGGCCAACTTTCTACTGGGAGACCGAAAACTGTCATATTCCTGGAGAGATACAAAATGTACCTCAAGAGGAGGAATTTCTGCAGCATTATCAATGGAGGATATTGGAGTTAATGTCTTCATCGGTGGCACATGTGATGATGTTTGCGTTCCAGTTGGACTCCTTGCGTCAAAATGGGACACTCCCTATGTGTCCTGGGGCTGTAATTCCCCTCGTCTTTCTGATCGACAGAATTACAATACTGTGAGTAATATTGCGGGACCACTCATTAATGTCCATAACATTCTTATACGGGCTTTTAGGTTATGGAACTGGAGATACACTGCCATCTTATCGTTGTCCGAAGAAAAATGGGAATCAACGGCTCACTTCCTAACGGCAAAATTGACCAGCGCCGGAGTGAAGATTAACGACTTCCACAGTTTCAAGTCAAGTGATGGTTCAATTGGTCACTCAATGTGGACCAAGAGACAGCTGGTAGACCATATAGGAACCAAAGCGAAAAGTAAGCTTTATTTATGTTACATGTACATGTATACTGCAGCTCTGTTCGTAGGTTCGAATGCATTTTTGTTTCACTTCCAAAAGGTTGATAAGTATATACAATTATCCCAGTAATTAACACACCTGCCTGCACGCCCCAGCGGACCCCGCAGAAGACAGACTGAGAAATAACGTGGAAATACAAATATCAGGTTCCATTTGGATCACACACTATTCTTCCTATTCCAGACATGCAAAGAATCTCTGTTCGTTTGTTTCAGCACTGTGCTTCATTCGTACCAACCCAACTGGATTGCAATCTCAATTACTGAGTCTATAATCAGGTCGCGTTGCTAAACTGTCACGAGTATTTATGAAACCGTATTATCGTTGATACTTACAGTATGCTAGGTTGTACTGGGTGATTGTGCAATTAATTCATTTCCCAATGTTTTCTTCGCAGTTGCAATATTTGTCTGCAACAAATAGCCGACATGAGAGAGACAACTCCTATCATTGAGGATTGATCGTAGACATGTGGCTGATGAAAAAATATTTGTGAATAAGAAATGTCCGTCCAAAGCGAGCCAGACCCCACATATAGTTGCCGTCAAGTGTGTGTGCTAACTTTTTTTATTTTCTTTTTTCTTATTTATAAAATTCCGTTATCATTATATTTATATATTTCCCTTTTTATTTTTCTTTTCATGTAAGGGGAAATGGATAAATTTCAACCAAAGGGATATTTCTTCCTGGATCTACAATTAACAATTTGTCAAATCCATTTTAAAATCCATCGCTTTGAACATATGCATGAAATCAATTTTATTATTCATAAAAGGTAGGCTGAATCCTTCATAATATCTGTCGAAATCAGTAAAAAAGAATTAACTGATCATGTAGTATTTATATTTGTGCACAACATGGGTCAGAATTGTTCATTTTTTTTTCTTTCCTCCTGTATATACCAGAGATTTCAACTAATTTTTTCAAACATTTTAAAACGAGTACCAGTTTTTACTAAGGTAGGCGCCAGGCATAACCGATTGCAATGCAATGATCTTTTCATCGCCCAGAGAAAATAATACTATATTACTGATTATAATAACTAACATTTTTTTACTGTTTACATAAAACCAATGCATTCTTGTTATGCTCCTTAGACACCTTGGGCTGACACAGAACAACAATTTGTTCTTAAAGTACAGACTCCGTCTAAAGACCTGGGCCCAGTTTTATAAAGGACGTTTAGCACTAACCAGTGGATAAGCCTAACCAGTGGATAAATTCCCCTAACACCCATTAACTAAAAGATGGTTAAATTGTGTTTTATATACAGTCTTCCGACGGAAAACAGCCAATTAGTTAACTGGCCAGTGTTTCACTGGATTAAATAATTACTTAAAGGTCAGTTATCTAACAGACTGTTAAGGTCTGGTTAGAGTTAAACACTGGTTAGTGCTAAACGTCCTTTATAAAACTGGGCCCTGATGTTAAAACCAGCACCAATAAAGTCAACCCGGAATGACAGGTCTTTTCCATTACCATCATACTGCGTGTTAGAAACGTTGATTCCCCTTACATAAACGTTTCCTATAACAATGATAATAACAATATGATTGATCGTATGGCTTATTTGCAAGTTATTTTGCGCTCACCATGCAAAATCATCATGTTGGCAATTATCTTTCGGCAGCTAGGCTGTAATTATCTGATGCCTATTACCTATTCATTGCATTGAATTTTAGTGTCTGATTTTTTTTTCTTGTCTTGGCAAAATTGGGCAATTTCCAGAGACAATAGGTCAAGGGGCTTTAGGGGACTAGTCTGTAATTTTCTCTTCCAGAGGAAGAGGAGGATTTACGTCGGCAGCACCGTGTCTTTTATATATTCTAAAATGACTTGGGAACCTATCTAACAAACGCTGAAGAAATCTGCCAAGTAATGAAACAACCAAATTAAAAGAAAAGATGTGATGCAAGGGACGAAAAGGACAGGTATTTGTTATCCAAATTGCGTGACTTTCGACTTATCGACTAAAGTGACTGCGCACTTAAATAGAATCCTAATGATGTGAGGTCCAAGTAACAGTTAATTCGCTTTTAAGTTAAGAGGGGAATGCAACAGAACGTGACGACCGGAGACAGCGACCAGAATCGAATTGCAGACGAGCACCCGCTGTTTCATCATCCGTGAAAGCCTTAAATTAACCCACTCGAATGACGCCTGTAATTATAATAACTACGTGCGAAGCTGTGTGAAAACGTATGTGTTTTTTCCTATTTGATGACAGTCAGAAATAAACATACATAGGAAGGTAGAAATGGGAACTAGGGTTGTAGTTTGCTTGATAGATAAAGTTCACAATTGACCAAGCCATTAGACACCTGCCTCTCAATACGGTAAATTCACTTGTATCCGCCACGGACTTGATTGACCTATTCTTTTGTCGCCGTTCATTGAAGACATCTTTCTAGGAGACACGACCTGTGATTTCTTCTCTGATTCACGGCCTCAGTTGACTTGTCTTAGTATCGCGGTTAATGTATCATTTGAAAAGTGAATGATAAGTTCCATCAGACAAATCCTATTAAGGTTCATATTTGTTACCGCCATGTTTAGTTTAGTGGTAATTCGTTGGCATATAAAAGTGAAATGACTTTTCAGCTTTCTTTTAATTTGACGTTGTCTGCGTTAAAGCATCTTAAGATGTAGTGGTGATTTTGAAGATGCAGTTGTCATTTCGTAGATGATATATTTCAATTTGTTTCGACAGGAGATGATGTATCATACTTATACACTGAATAATTTGACCATGTAGGTTGATCCATGACGTGACTTAAAACCTTCATGGAGTATTGTTTCATCATTGCACATTGTGTTTTGATTCGTGTTCACTGCTTATTCTGCATGATGAAGGCGGTTTTGTTGGGCAGATTCAACTTTGGAGGCATACGTGCATTGTGTATGGATTTCCATGATTAAAACTTGCCAAAACGTCTTGACCAGAGCATTCGCCTAGAGTAGCTATTCTGAGTCGGCTATGGCGATGGCTTTTGGTCATCCATGGTGCCTGGCCTCTGTCTTATTTTAAAAGAGATGAAGTACTCTCGGTGTGTGAACAGAAATATGCAAACGTCTGTCGGTCGCAATGCGTAAGTCGATCCAGCAATGACCAAGTTGACGCCTCTCATTGCCTGCACCATGCTGCACGTGCTTGCCTGGGGTGACACACAGAATGCAACGCAAGTGCCCGATCCCAACGTTACAGTAAATCTCGGAGTGCTTATACCGTGGACTGGCTCGTGGCCAGCGGGACGCCGTTCAGCTTCGGCGGTCATCATCGCCGTGGAGGACCTTAACGCAGATTTGATCATCTTACCCGGTCGAACAGTTCGCTTCTCATGGATGGACACCAACTGCAACGCGCATAAAGGTTTGGAGGCTGCCGTAAGCCTATTCGACCATTTTACTGAGATATCCCCACACACGCATTACGAAGATGACGGAGACCATTCCCAAAAGCTGCATGCGTACATTGGGGGTGCATGCGACGAAGTCTGCGAGCCCGTTGGCCTATGGGCGGGGGTCATGAACATTCCGATGGTTTCTTATGGATGTTCTGCCAGTAAACTCTCTAACAAGGTCCAGTTTCCCACTTTTGTCAGAACGGTCGGGCCGTACGCCAAAATTGCCCGCATGTTTTGGCACATCTGTGCTTATTTCAAGTGGAACCACGTTGGCATATTGGCGTCCACGGAAAGCGTCTGGCAGGTGATTGGCAATGCGGTGAAGTCGACTCTAGAAAGCAAGAGTGCTACAATTGGTGACTTTCATAGCGTAGCACCTGGATCGTCGACGACGAGCAAGGACTCGACAAACAGAGGAATAATGCAAACTATGGGTAGAGACTCAAGAAGTAAGATAACATGCGTGTTGAGTGTTGTCCTGTATGTGTATGGGCAGTTGGATGGGGGGGGGGGGGGATGAGATACACTTGAAAATCACCTCCTCTATATATATATATATGATGAATGTAGTTTAATCATGTTTAATTTTTAGATATTAATTTTAAATTTCAGTACGTTTCTTTTTCATCCACCAGGTATAATCTGTTCGAATTATAAAAACGCGCTCGTCCCCAGCCGTTGGGCATATCCTGTGCCCCACGAAAAGATAGCATTGTTCAATCGTCCACATCATTGTGTGTCTTTGCCTCTGTCATTAATTAATTGTGCCGACGATTTTTTGGCTGTAATGTTGGTAATTGCAATGTTAGAGAAAGATATACCTACATTTTATTGTAACTGATTGAAAAGCTCATATTGTTGTGTCTAAATATTACAAAGGATTTTTAAACCAACACTTAGAGACGAAATAAAGCCCCTCAAATAAAAATACCCGATGCCGCTTTTCCTCCGGAAATGTCAAGAAGATTCATCGGGGTCTAAATGAATCATGATTCGTTTAGAACTAAGTAATTTAATTAGAAGTCGTACCAAACATCGAATCTATGTGCAGGGACGTTTCGAGCAGTGATTCGTGAGAAGGTCACAATTGCTTTTTTAGGAGGTTAGTTTGATTTGGAGCAAAAAAATCAATAAGAAATACACGTTATAGGTTGTATGACATTACCGAAAGTAAAATTCAATCACAAGTACTATTTGTGTAAAATTGATAATAGTATAAAGCATAACTTTAACTGTCACCGTTGCTTTATAATGATGGTTTTATTTTATCTTATTTATTTATTTATTTATTTATTGCGCAACAAAGCACTTGCAAGCTTGGCTTCCGACCATGTACTAAGAGGCAGATTACACACCAAGGTCCGTCTATATACTACTACTCTATACTACTTGTAGACTACAGTGTGCCTGTTCTTTTCTATTGCAACATTTATCCAGAAATACACGGTTTTCAGTGCCATAAAATGTTGCCTTCAAACGAAAATAGCTATATGCATGTAAGCTTTGTACTGTAATGGTTCGACTGTGAAAATGGACTGATGTGGTTTAACTGTATTGATTTTAGAACGCCACGAATTCACTTCTTAAAGGGCATATGCTAGGTTTTTGTCTCTTCACCAATTAGGTAATTTTATATAAAGGTTGCTTTGCAGAATCAGTCTGTTTTAGCAGAAATCCGTCCTTCTTTTTTCCACAAGCACAGCTTTTAAGAAAGACACAAATATACAACAATCCTATTCACAAACCAAATTTCCACTGGCTTTTGTATCGCAACAATAATTTAGCTTCTAGTATTGGCACCACATGGAAAGCTACCACCATCACCCTGTGTGGCAGATCTGACAGGCCAATCATATCTTTGATTGTAAATAACAAAAAATGAAACACACGCAAAATGGTCTAACTACAGATGACCGACAATAATAATATTAATATCATATACATGTACCTGTACGTATATATGCATACATATACTATGTGGTTATCATACTACGTATGGATATTTACTTCGGCTATCTGGTTTTTGGCCTGCGCTGGTTCTTGTTTCAAAGTAATTTTGCACTAAATAAAAAAGCAACTTCCAGTATTTTAACAGTCACCAATAAAATAGTATTTCCGTAGTTTTGTTGCCTTCATAGACGAATCATTATTCCCAGAAAGACTTGTTTATCGTAAAACCACTAGTTTAAATTAATCTTCTCTTGGATATGGACCATTAGTTTCATCAACAGTTCTATCACTTTTTGATCATTATTTGGCAGTGAAAAATGACACAGATCGTAGACAGGATGGATGTGTTGATAAAGAAATATACCCGTGTGTTTACTCGCGAAAGCTCATTTGGTGCCCAATGTTGCGACATTAAAGGGTATTCCTTCACTCGTGGCACTAACAGAACATTTATAACCCTGACATATGAGACTGGTTCTTTGCCAATATACTTGACGTGTTTACAATAAGCCTTATTTGCAGATTGCCGTTTACAAGGGAGAATGTGCACCCTCTACCGAGACCACAGATTGATTTTTTTTTACTAGATATATTCACGAAAATGTCTCTAGATAAATTGATGGTACTTTTCTGTATTGTCAGAAAAAAGTATACATATTTATCTGAGATTCTGGTAGAGGATAGAGAATTTAATACGCACTCTTAAACACTAACGGTTTACACACGCTTTTAATTTGAATTCGGCATGCATAGGTCTCGTATAGAACCCGTCATTGAAGTAGTCTAGAAATAAATATTCACCTTGACAAATTCTGCAAGGTCAATCATCTGTTTTGGACGAGGGTTAATAAGCCGCTTTTGGTTTCCTTATGGCCTTTTAATAAGTAAGAATACAAAAAGCTTAATCTTAATACTTAAACCATTGCCCATTAATATGATGAATGGGTTCATTCCCTACTTCGTTTTGACATCAGTTGTTGACTCGCGGTATTCTATTTCACTTAACTGCCAGTGCAATTGAACATGGGTTATTAAACTATTGTGTGTCAAGGAATATCCTTTATTGGGCAGCATTATTTAGGTGAGGATTTCTTCTCTTTTCTCAAAACCTTGAGTGACTTTTCATGTATTTATTGAAAATGATATGTTTTGTTTTGAACTTGAAGCTACTCAACGTGTAGTATGCGCTGCACTTGCTCTTCTTTCCTTCTTCACAACAAAGCCCTGCACGTCGCCTACACTGATTTCTCAGGCGCCATCAAATAGATACTGGTTCAGAAAAACATTTTTGTTCACAGAATCATGAGTTTACAACTAAACATGAGACCCAGATCAGTGTCTTTTTTTATCATATTAGAAAGGTTACCACAATAAGGCGAATTATATCACATAGGGATTTGCAAAAAATGTTATTTGAAAATTGTTGGTCGGACTGAGTCAATTTTGATTGCAAAGTAAGGCCAGACTAAAACATGTTAAAATGAACATGCCCATCGTAGTGTTTTATGGGGATCTTAATTAGTCCTCGCGTCTGCCTCGAACGGAAACTCCTCTGAAAACGTAACCATTGATTGATACAGAGAGAATTACGACCTAAAGCAGACGAAATACATTGCGTTTCACCCATATGTTTAGAGTAGAGCATAGAAATGTCATTCCTTAGCAATAACTTTGCAGGTTTTTTTTTAATTTTTAATTTTTTTTCATTTTTTTATATACAAGATGTTCGCCAAGTTCAAACCGACAGATGCAGGTTTTTTTTATTTCTAGTTATCATTCTATGTGCCGGTGGCGGGGACATCCGGGAACTCCTTCTCCACGCGTATGATCTCGGCATGTTGAACGGAGATTATGCCTTTATCACCATAGATCTGCTTCCAGGTAATACATGTAGCTTCATTTACGCATACAATGCACAGGCCCCTTCTCCCTCTCTATTTCTCTCTCTCTCTCCCCCCGTGTGTGTGTATGTATGTATGGCGGTAGGGAGTTCAAACAAAACCCATTTTGGCCCGGAAAGGCCTGATAAGAGTCAAAATTTGATTAGTAGGACGTTGCATACCATTATCGTAAAAGGACCACTATTTCAGAGAAAAAATAAATGAGCCCCCTTGACATCATTAGTCATAAGCATATCTGTTATACCGGTAGATGTATAGTGTTACTGTATATCGTGTGACTCGAAAATATCATTACTAATTTCAAAGTCTAATCACTTCAGTAGTTCACAAGCTTTTGAATTGGAATTCAGTACAGAGTTAACACGATTATTGGTTAACCTTGAAAACTTCAAGCTTTAGAGTTAAACAGTTTTGATATTGCCATACGCATTGACAAGTACGTGTCAAAAACTGTCAGACACGGGCACCTATCAGAAGTTACATGGCCAGGCATGGTATTTTTTACGAAAGATTGTGCCAAAACTACAAAAGTCATGAAATTTTCAGCATTTACTTTAAACGTTATTTTTTCATTTTTTGAATTCCCAAATGCCATTGCAATTTCTTCAAAACTGTTTAAGTTATTGAACATCGAATTTAGTAGCGTTTTTATAACCACCCGATACATTTAGAAATATATTACCGGATTATTGTAATTTAGAGATTTGCCATCGGTTACTGGCTCCCCTACGGTAAATTCTAAATCGTCGTCGTACATATGCTGTTGATCATTGGCAACTCGTGGGAACAACACCTGCGTCACTTTGCCTTTGAGAACGGCGATATTGATGTAATTCTAAGTTACTTTGGCTTCTCATCCATTAACCAAATCACAAAATAAAAGAAAGAATTATGAGCGGCACTGGGGCTCGTTCAAAGCTCCAACGCTTGCGGTACATGTATGGGGGAATATGTTGTGGAGTAATGTATACTTCAATTCATTAACGGTGCACCAAAACTTATATCCAGTAAAGACCGGTTCGATTAGACCGGTTAAGTTCTTGATTGCGCAATGACCCAACAATAATATATATATTACGGTTATGGTTACAACCTATAATATGTCTAAGCGAATTGACTCCAGTTAGAGTATGCATGGAATTGTGATTAACTTTGTTCAAATAACGTTTGCTGTTTGATCTCTTTGAACAGGTCTCTGATTTTTTTTCTGAAATATTGTCATTAAATTCTTGGTCGGATAGATTAAAATGATCATCGCCCAACATGTTTTAACCCGGTCTGTTTTTTCCTTCGTCCTAATTATCTATTTTTAGATTTTGTTTGATTTTTTTAAACTCTTATTTTATAATATCCTTCCTCTACCTGAACGACAGACGCGCACATCGGCGCAAATACGTGGATGGGAGAGGACGGGCGAGATGAGGATGCCGCCAAGGCCTTTAACGGCGTTCTGAACGTCAATCTTCATGAGCCCCATAATGAGGAATGGGAGGTCTTCAAGGCAAATGTCAGACAGCGAATGTCGGATCCACCCTTTTACCACAACTGGACGGAAGGCGAACAGGTGCGGTAAGACCGAGGGTGATCAAGGTGACATCTATCGGTATGAATAAGGAATGACTGAGTCTGGCTTATCTAGGTCATTGGCTCAGACCAGTCCAAGGTTTGGAAGGAGATGGACAGAAAAAAAGCATAAATAGATGAATGAATAGATAAATTAATAACAGACAGGGAGAAAAATGTTTATAAGTTTTCCTCATATATATAATTTCTTTTAGAATAAATACACACCAATGCCTCTGTAACACGCGGTCGCAAAGATCCATGGTTCATGTAGGTACAGTTTGACTCGAAACGATGTTATATTTTAGGTGGACGTCCATGCTGGCATGATATATGATGCCATAATGTTGTATGCGCATGCGCTTAATGACGTCATTGAAGAAGGCGGGAACGAGTTTGATGGTCAGCGTATTGCCAGGCAAATGTACAATAAAACTATCAAAGGTTTGTATCAAAACCTATCCAAAAATAGTTTATAAAAGACTGGGCCGGATGTGCCATATTTATTCACTATATTGAACGATGTAAACGTCTATGGTAAATTGATATCCTTGGTGGTTATTCTTAAATAGAATAATACATAAGTTATATATATTATTGCCATGACAGGTATAACCGGGGTAGTATCTATCGATGAGATTGGCAACCGTAATCCGGACTACAGTTTACAGTTTATAAAAGACGGTAAACTTATAGTCTTTGCCGACTACTTCTATCACAAAGACAACTTCACCACATACAGCGACGTTGAAGTGGTATTCCCGGGGGGAAAGACAACCCCACCCTTAGACCACCCGCCCTGTGGCTGGAAGAACGAATTGTGTGTGGAAGAAAAGACAAACTGTAAGACGCAAATCTGAAGTTTATTCTTTTTCATCATTCTATAATGGATTAATGAATTTATTTATTTATTTATTTATTTATTTATTTATTTATTTTCAATAAATCATCTTAACTTGAATATGCTGGGGTATCAATATTTTCTTTAAGTTTTCTTCAAATCTGCTGTACACACAACAATATAATGAAGGTTGAAATATTAATTAATATTAATATTTGCATTATTATTATTATTATTATTATTATTATTATTATTATTATTGACTCGCATTTTCAGTCACAGTTTACATCGTGGTGCCGTGTGTATTGGCTGCTATTCTCACCGCAGTGATCTGCTTGGCCCTGTTTTACCACAGGTAAAGTGAATATTGATCTTAACGTCCATATAAAAATACATCATGGCGAATAATAAGGGACAATTTGTACCCGCATCTACCCTGTACATATACGCTGTGGATGCAATTACATTTAATATTCAAAGTATAAATGTTTGCATTTATGGATGTATATATGATTTTTTTGTGTGTTGATGCTGTATTTGTATTAAATTAAATTATCATAAAATGGTTTTCAAATATTAAAGTGATTTTATATTAAATGACAAAGACAAATGTCTTTGACCAATCAAAATAAATGTATTTTCTGATGCACTGGTATAACAGTTAACGTATTTTGATCTCAGAAAATTGAAATTCGAGAGAGAGCTGAGTTTGGAGACCTGGAGAATACACTCTAAGGATCTGACCATCATATCAAAGCGGCAGGCTTTCGGCAGTCGGGTAGGTCATAGTAAGAAACGCTTTTTTTCATGCCTTGCCTTTTTCCTTCTTCCTTTACATATAGTCTGTTATTTGCGTTTAACATCCCTAGGTATGTATATGACCGTGGCGATATGATGATCACTGAAGCCTGTCCAACTCATTACTCCTGTGGACTTGAAATAAACATCCGTTTGATTTTGACTATATTCCGTAACCGCCTCGTCGTCAGAAATAATAAGAAAAAACTAGAATTATTACTCCCGTGAACTTATAATAAACATCCGTTGATTTTGAAAATATTCCGAATCTGCCTCGTTGTCAGAAATATCACCAAAAAGTAAATTTCTTTCTCCTTTGCACTTGTGAAAAATAAGTTTGACTATATTTCGGTCCGACGCTCCTTTTTTTATCAGAAATGTCACTAAAAAGTAGAGGTTTTGCCTTGGGACCTTGTTTCCGCAGCAGTCCCAGCTAGGTGTGGCTCAGCTGAGACGTGCATGGTCAGTGTCGACGGTTCATTAAATACTTCTCAAGACAGTTGAATATCCACGACAAGTATTTAGCAAAAATTGACCAAATTGGTCAGACATTACGTAAGAATTTGGCGGGAGGTGACCAGCGCACGTGGACGAGTTTATTCTGTATAACATCTCTAGAGCGTGATATAGGGTCACTTTATTCGGTTTTAGGGGTGTTTTAGGATGAAATGACTGTTTTTTTTCTCGGTATGTATGTCAAATAATACACTGTCACCTTCTCGCGATATATGCCATGAACACCTCTCGCTGAAGCTCGAGGTGTTATGGAATATATCGCTCGGGTGACAGTGTATTATCTCACACATAACTAAGACGGCTTTCATGGTCTCTAGGTACTAACAGCAGGTAGCTATCACAATAAATGACAAGCAGGCCCAGCATCCACTAGATTACATGTTTTTTCGCGTTAACACACTAAGCAACCTAAATTATTTAATGCATGGTTAACACAACACCATGAGGTGCTTTATCACTAGAAATACCATTATAATTCGCGATTCTCAAATTCGGAGCGAGCATAATGAGGATAACCTTTGATATTTTTTTAAGCATTTATTACTAAATGGACTGAATATGATGGTTCATATATCACAACGATTGCTTTGTTTGCACATATAGCTTATACATTTTATTCGTAAGAAAACACATTCCATTGCTAGAAAAAATAAAAAAAAATGATAGCTGTTTATTGTTCACTTGATAAATATTGATAAATACGTTAATTACGAAGCAGTTTACACCTACATCTTGATTTTGGCACCGTTTAGCCTTCAAAATATCAATGGGAAATACTAATGGGCCACTGGAACACAATTAGATTTTTTAAATCTACTATGAATCTTGGTAGAAGAAACTATATGTATCCGTTTGATACTTCAGTGGATCACAAAATATGGCACTATTAAGTGAATTAAGAGTCAATTTGCCTTAACAGGGGGAGACGAAAAGCAACCTGAGTAACTTAACAATTGGAACGCACGGGACACCCGGTAGAACAAAATCCAACGCCAGATCACATAACAGAGATGACCACTCCAGCGTTCATAGTGACGATATTAACATTAGAGCGTCCGAGCTGAGCTCTCTAAACACATTCCGGGTCGGCCGTTATAAGGTAATATTAGAAAACTGAAGTGTGATTGGTTGATTGGTGTTATATTATGTGAGTGCTTGTGTTCTTACGAATAGACGTGCTTGTGTTTGCGCGTGTGTGTGTTTATATGCGTGCATGCGTGTGCGTGTGAAAGAAAGAGAGATGGGCAAATCAGATACTTTTAGGTACAGATAATATGTGTGATTTTACAGATTTATTTACGCTTTTGCCCACAATAATTATTGGATTGGTTGTTTAAATAATTCACTATTCAAAAGAAAATTTTACGAAATAAATGGATGTTTAAGGGGCAAATCTGCGAGGTGAATATTGAGTTCGTTAACCTGGTCGTTGAAAGAAGGGTGCGGTAAGCGCAACCTATGATGGACTTGGTTTATAACTACATGTGCCACCCCGAATTCGTCGTGAAAACGACGCGCAAGCTCCTCTATATCCTTACTTAAACTAGAAGGAGAAATGTTTCTGTCGGAGAGATCGTTGGAACCGATAAGTAGAATGACCAAGGCCGGGCGGACCCGGCGAAGGATGCCCAAATCGTATCTGACTAGTTTAGGGACCGTACGGCCACCTATTCCGTGCCAGTGTACTGATTCGGGGAATCCAAAGTCTTTCGCCGTGCGGTCGTCCCGACCTTGGTCGAGGTAAGATTGGAGCCTGTGTACAAAAGAATGCCCAATGACAAGAACAGCCATGCTACTATAATTCGCGAAATCAATAACTCAAATAAGGAAAAAACTTACTTGTAGCAAATTGGAGTTCTGTTCGTGGGGAAGTCGGAGATGCGTAGATCTATCAGCAGGTTCGCCAAAAGTCCCGACTTGAAATATCTGTGAATCCGTAACTGGTAATACAATCAAAATTGAAGATGGCGAACGTAAAATTATTCTTACAATTGCATACGCTATAGAACCTTGTATAAAGCAGAGTGGGAAGGAATAGTAACGCTCATTTGGTTAAACGCTGAGGCGCGAACCTAAGTGAAACCCCCGTCCGTGATTGGACAGGGTGTCTGATCAAAAGATGCAGCGTTGAATCCGAGGCTTATGCAAATTTTTGGCAAGTTATGCCATAATAAACGTCCGTGATTGGACAGGGAGTCTGATCGCGATAGATGCAGCATTGAATCCGAGGCTAGAGCAAAAATGTTAACAACTTGTGAAGAATCAGACCGTCGCCATAAATAAACGTTTGACTACGCCAAACTTCCCTTTATGATGTATTTCAACTCTTTTCCAAATTAAATACTGGTTTGGCTTTTTAAATGATTCATTCAAATTATTCGAATTATTCGATCCAGATACTCACATGGAGGTTTGCAGATTACCATTTTGTTTGTTTGTTTTCAATTAAAACTGTTGTATATCACCTTTTCACATAAACTAATGAAACTGCAGAGAAATTATTGTATTTTTACAGAACGCACAACAGGGCGCTGAAGTAGTTGTGTAGTTTCCAATTTCGTTTTTTCGATAGTGTCGGTTGTCGAAAACTTTTCATGCGACCAGAAACTAGTGTCGCTTCTCAATAGCGATTCTAGACCTGGCGGCCAGGAACTAGTATCGATTTTCTATACACGATTCTGACACTGAAAAAATAGAATTGTTTATACAGTGAGAGGGGGGGGGGGGTGAACGGATTGAAAGTCGACTGGCGATCAGTGCCTACGGCTCCTGTGCAGTCTTCAATGTAGAGGGGCTAAACGTTTCAGGTTCTCATCCTCGCACCGTCTACAACTATATTATTAATTTTCCAGGGCCAATACGTAGCTTTAAAACTCCTCAGGAAAAATGACATCAAAATTGACAGGGACGTACTGATAGAATTCCAGCAAGTAGGTGCTCAGCTGGTGGTGCAAGGGTGGATTTCAATAACAGTCTACGTTACATTTTTTACATTGTATAACATATACCAGTAGTTCTGCTGAGAATTTTGTTTATTCTTATAAAAAAGTTCTATAATTAATTTCAAACGTATCAAAAAAAATAAATAAATAAATAAAAAAGATCACAGCCTTACAATGTAGGTACATTTTTGGTTTGAAACACCATTAAAATAATATAGAAATTATAATGTTTTCCATCACATCAGGTACGAGAATTGAACCACGACAACCTGAATTCATTTATTGGCGCATGCTTGGAACCGCCACAATTATTCATAGTCAGTGCTTACGCCAACAAGGGTAGCCTGCAAGACGTACTGGAAAACGACGATATACAACTGAACGACAATTTTAAAATTTCCCTTGCTACGGATATCTGTAAGGTGAGGTCGGTGTTCCCTGTCTGTTTGAACCTACCGTTTAAATACATTATAGAATCTAAGACGATAACTTTCGAGATTATCTCCACGCACATATAAAGACTACGTTCAGATAAACTCGTCGTACAAGATGGATCGATCCAACCCTGCGGGGGATTCTCGCTAAAATGCATTCAGTGTAACCAGCTTATTTATTGGCTTACACGCCTACTCAAGTGAAAGAGTTTCTTAGAGCAGAACTCACGCGATTGTAAATTACCCCCTTGCTGGTCGAGGAGTGGTGTTAAACAATAAAAGCGATTACATTGACTGCACTTAAGTGAAATCGCCGCAGAGTTGGATCCATCTAGCTAGTGCGATGGAAGTATCTGAACGCTCCCTGATACATGTGCGTTCATGATTCTCTTTGTCTTATTAAATTCATTTTTAAACCTCTAGGGACTAATCTACCTCCACAAGAGTCCGCTGCGTGTCCATGGTCGCCTTAAGAGTTCCCACTGTGTTGTGGACAGCCGCTGGGTGTGTAAACTCACAGACTATGGCCTATGGAAGTTAAGACTTGGAGAAGAGGCAACCACAGACACGTACAAAAAATATGCATGTAAGCATTATAAATTACAATTGTGCTTGGGGCAGGTCTCACAAAATACCATTTTGAGACAAAAAATGTCGTCTACTCAATTTCATTGAAGAAGGCACCAAATAGACAAACACAAAAATATGTTGCTCTGTTACTCCACGCACGAAAATGCAGTAGTATCGAAGTAGCAAAAAAGCATTAACGCAGCAGTGGTGTGGAGCATATTTACAGTAGAAATGCAGCATAGCCTACTGCAATTCTACTCCAAAAAGTACATAGGTTTGTACAGAGAGGAGCATTAATGCAGTAGATTAGCAGCATGATAGAAGCATGTTTCAAATATGCTAATTAGCTCCTAAATCGAAGCAGATTTGAAGCATGTTTGCAGTATGATTGCAGTAGTCTACTGCGGTTTGCAGTATGATTGCAGTAGTCTACTGCGCTGGAGTATCTACTGCGTTTTCTTGCGGGCGCGCGCGCGCGCGCGCGATCATCAGGCAATAAAGGCATATTGGTTGTACTGATCGATGCTTTTGTGGTTTGTTGAATTTGCGGTTGTTACAACGCATGATTGTAATAACAATTTCAATTTTGTTCAGCTCTTCTGTGGACAGCACCGGAACTCTTGCGCAATACCAGTCCTGAATGTTGCGGTACCCAGAAAGGCGACGTGTACTCCTTTGGCATCATACTTCAGGAGATCGTCCTACGAGGTGGACCATATTGTACGGAGAGCGACTTAGAACCAAGAGGTAAGTATAACGTAGGTAGAAAGGAAGGTGCAAAAGGTTCACTTTTTCTAAACTCGATCTTGTCTACTTTATAAGTAAGGCAAAACCTACAAAATTAGCGTGGACTGATTTGGTTGATATATTTTGATTGTACATTAATGTTTTAATGCACTTAGAGTGATAATCCCACCAGGTGAAGTGAAGGTGCATGTGCATGTACGCCAACTAGGTTTCCTACCACCATCTTATATGTATAAGAAAGCTGCTCCACCATGTGTATTAACTACTGTAGGTAATACCCCTAAACACCAAGATTAACATTACATATATATAAATAAAAACGAATGAAAGTCGGATAAGAATTCCATCTTCTATGTTATGTTATAAGAATAAAGTATTATTTTTCTCTAATCAACATCTTAATAAGTTTATCTCCTGAATATACTCTTTTCACCTGGATAGCATCATTCCCTGATGAAGATGTGCTGTTAGACATAGGAATATTGGAGATGTTAATTATTTCAATATTAAGTTGTTAATTGTAGAAAAAATACGTTAATCACATATGAAAAAACATTTTTCAGCCAGTGCGAAAACGTGCTCTTTCAGGCATAGTAACACTTGTCAAGGAGGGTATCCGTCCAGTGTACCGTCCCAAAGTTCCTCAGGAGTCATGTTCTGCAGCCATGTATTCTCTGATGAACCTCTGCTGGCAGGAAGGTCCTGCGTCCAGACCCAGTGCCGAGGAAATCCTGAAGAAGCTCAAAGAAGCCAACGGAGGGAGGTAGGCTTAAACTAGGCGGTAGCGTGAACCATTTTGATTGGAAAGTCAGCTTGGACTTAACTGTTCTTTTACGTGAGATACGGATAGGATATATGAAATGCCTATATTCATTCTCTGCAGTGATAAAATTTGTTTCTTTCTCGCATTAATCTTCTTTATCTTATATCTTATTGTTATAAGTAGTAGTAGTAACAGTAGTATTAGTAGTAGCAGTGGAGTAATATTTCTGAAATGATTTCCCTCTAAACAAAGCTCCCCAGAAAGAAAGCAATCCAAATGACGAAAACCTTTCCGACTGGAAGTTAACTTGCGTCACTTACTGGTCAGCGTGCCTCGTTTGTCGTCCCTAATGAGTAACATAATCGCTCTCTAAAATATCCGATATTTGTGAGCTGTTAGAGTCAGATATGTATTTAAAGGGCGTGGCGTTCTTTTCATTCTGTAGAATAATTAGTACTTACATAAGTGATGCACGCACAAACACTTTTTTCGTTCCAGGTCTTTGCATTTCATTGACAACATGCTGGAGTTAATGGAACAATACGCCAACGATCTCGAAATCGTCGTGCAACAAAGAACCCAGCAACTCGTGGACGAGAAGAAGAAAACTGACGCCTTGCTCTATCAAATGTTACCTAGGTATTTCTTTTAATGTTTTTCAATTTATTTATTTTGTTACAGTAAATTATAATAAGGTTTATTTTTAAGTGACATTTCCAATAATAAATTCTAAATTAAAAGTCGTTTTTATTATACCAGCTTACAAAACAAAACAAAACAAACATGAAAACCGATAGAAAAGAATCAAACGAATCTAGATTAAATGCTCTAGCAATTGTTTCGTGCTAGCGCGATGTTTTAAATTCCTTTTTTTTTTCTAGATCCGTGGCAGAAGAACTCAAGCTTGGCAAGCCGGTCCATCCCGTGGCCTTCCAGGAAGTAACAGTCTATTTCTCAGATATTGTGGGGTTTACGAAGTTGGCCTCAGAGAGTACACCACTGGAGGTAAAGTTACGTCACAGTAAAGTGCGTGACCTCATGTTTACAGTATTACTTCAGAGGCAAAGTTCTTACCAATTAGTTCATAATAATATGGATAACGGGCTATGTATAATATAACATTGTTATTATCATTTGTTGCAAGAAGACTCACTGGGTTGCAATTGATGCTTTATATATTATGTAATATAACCCAAATTTCACCTTGACGCTTCATGTATAATCGTATGCTATTACGGTAAACGTGATCAGTTTTTCTGATGTTGCAACAAACAATACGATATAGCACAGATGTAGTATTCAGATGTCTATATTAAGACCATTGTTTCGTTATATATTAGGTTGTGATGTTACTGAACGACCTGTACACCTGTTTCGATGCCGTGATAGACAACTACGACGTCTATAAGGTAAATTGACGTGTGATAACTAACCATTAGGTGAATAATCGCAGTAAAGATTCCATGCATACCATTAATATATCTTTTAAGAATTTAGGCTTACGTTAACATTTATTACATAATTACATTGAGAAGGTGATCTGGTAGCACTGTAATCTCATTTAGGGGTTAATCTAGAGGCGTTGGTAGGAAACAAACTTCCCTATTGTTTATGCTGCCACATTGAATAATTCCTGTGAAGGGTGACACCGCAATATCATATGTTTATTGTAAAAATACATCAACATACCTTTAACACTGATGAATTAAAATCAACAATATGGGAACGTGATTTATAGTCCCATGTACACATACTTGATTCAAGGTATACAGTACATCAGAAGGCTGTTTGGAATAACAAAATACAGGAATAAAAAAGCGTTGTATTTATTTCAGTAATGTAATTACATTATCAATATGTATGTTATTGATATTGGCATTTAACAACCTCCTTGCACCATTAATTCCAGGTAGAAACGATAGGAGACGCCTACATGGTCGTTAGCGGGCTACCTCATCGTAACGGGCACCAGCATGCCGGGGAGATAGCCACCATGTCCCTGGACATTCTCAGTTCTCTCTCCGGGTTCAAGATCAAGCACAGGCCCGGGAAGCAGTTACAAGTTCGAATAGGGATACATACAGGTACATTGACTAATAAGTGGTATGTTCAAATATACAAGATATTAACTCCCAAGTATATACGCATAATTAGCATTTTAAATATCGTTGTATAATTCATAATGATAATCTAACTGAAATCTTCGCTAAAATGTTTAAAGTGCGTGTCCACTACTATTATACCATTATTGTTTTAAATATATCACAGCAATAGTTTGTGTTGGTGGAGTGATTGAAGAGATAATCTTGGCATAATCAACTTTGCAACAGTATAAGCGACCGAGGAAAAGAGCATTAAGAGGAATCTAGCAATAATGCAAATGTGATATGATACTTCAAACACGTCTTAGAAGCTGTGACTTATTTCTGTAGGTCCCGTAGTGGCAGGCGTGGTCGGATTGAAGATGCCTAGATACTGTTTATTTGGAGATACGGTTAACACCGCCTCGCGTTTGGAGTCTAACGGTTTAGGTAAGTGTTGTACTCGTACCTGTGATATTTATTTGTTTACATTAGCATTATCACCTTATAATCGATTTGCCTTGTTTAGTATAAGTATTTTTTTCATTTTATTTTTTTTATTTTTTTATTTTATTTTATTTTATTTATTTTTTTAATTATTTGTTAAGTGCATTGAAATGTAAAAAATGGAATGCGCTATATAAGAAATAAATATTATTATTATTATTATTATAAGTTGGCTTCCGTATTGATGCTGTGTTCTGTATTCTTTCACTTAGCGTTACGGATACATGTCAGTCCCACCACGGCCAATCTTCTGGAACTGATAGGTGGCTTCACACTGGAAGCCAGAGGAGAGGTACAAATGAAGGTACGCCTTTTGGATTATGTTTTACACCGTCTGCCTGCCAAATTGTTTTTTAAGAGTCGTATGCAGTGAAAGTTAATCAAAATACTTTCACATGTAAATATATATATTTACATGTGAAAGTATATATAGATATATGCAGTAACTTTGAACAACTAGATAGACTCTCAGCAGAATTAATTTCAAAATCGGTGCGTTGCAAGTTACGAGGTATCTTCCAGGATACTATTAGTCATACTGACAGTGCGGTCTTTTCTGTTCAATCTAGGGCAAGGATCCCATGCTGACATTCTGGCTTCAAGGAAAGGACGGGTTCACCAAGCCTCTTCCTGATCCGACACTTGCCGCCCCCTTAGAAGAACACGAGTTCAAATAAGACGTTGAGGAGTGCACCAGATCAAATAAAACCAAGCACAAATGAAACACGTTGAAATGTATTGTATAGCACTACGTTGGGGCTCGAAGAAATTTTGAGAATTGAAAATATAACATGAGAAAATTTGAAACCAGATGTTGTCGCCGTTTTTGTACAAGCAAAGTGCAAGTTGAAACCAATGATCCTATTTGCAGACTGAAGTAGCAGACTTTATTGTGGTGCACATGACTAGCATAATGCAATTTAATTGTATATAATGTTATCATAAGTCCATGAAGATGTCTGTATTGCTTCAGATGGACAAAGGTTTCCACATCTCATAAGAAACTATCGAGAAAACCTACACGCTTGGATGAATACGACCCTGTTATTTATGATTTTCAAGTCGAGAAGTACACTAAAAATTCCTCTCGGGACAAATTACTTTAATAAGTGAAACTTTCGGTAACATGTTATTAAAAAAGACATTTGCATGCATAACTTAATTTTTAATATATCGGGTTTTTATACTTTTTAAACTTATGCTCAAATTGCAGATTTTTTCATGCATATGATTATAGTCTATGTACACGTGTTACTCAGAAGCCTGGACTGAAACGCTGTAAAGTTACGAATTAGCAGGAATGTCCAATTTACTCAAATACATAATAGGAAAATCCAGTATATTTCAAGCGTTGCGGTTAAAATATGTCATGTACATAATCACTTGAATTGTCTTTGTACGTTTACACATGTTAAATATCGTTCTGTTTACACGATCGCCACACATTGTATGTCAGAATACTTGGGGTAAAATCTCCTCAAAGACGAAGAATTCTACCTCTCCCCTTTTTGGGTGTTGGAAACGTTGTAAGTATGTCGGTTAGAAAGGAGACGTCGTATAATATAATGTCACACGAGACTTGAATGGATCTCTGTGTGTTTGTCTTATTTGTTAGTTAGCTATATAGTATAATATCAAAAAGAATTAAAAGAGTAAAGTATCCCATAAAACTTATCTCGGCATCGTGTCTAGTAAAATCTCGACTATTCAGCATATTCCTTCGGACATACTTTCCAAAATATTATTTTACAATTGTTATTGTCATCATTAATCGTCGTTATTACTCTACGGTCGTGAGGTAGAAATTAATGCTATCTAGCGGTCTTTAATGACTGCATCTTCGTGTGATCTTGAATTGCGAGGTTTGTAACAAAACCGCAGGTATTTAACAAATAGGTTATAATTTTATCACTTAATTAATGTCTTTCAATTGCAGAACAGAATTCAGTGTCGATAGAAAAGTAAAAACGTTAAACTTACAAACTTTTGCGTGCATTTTTTTATTAGCAGTTGAATTACAGGACAGAAATAAGACGCCAACTAGCGTGTTTATAAGTCTCACATATAATTTCGCAAGTGGAATATCGCTATTGAGAGTTAGAAGCGCCTCTTCAAACTAAATCAGTGAAGCTAGATTAATCCAAACAGACCGCTGTGCTAAAAGGTGTATATTCGTGAATAATAGATGACATGCAAAAGTTTTAACATCATCGGTATCAACCCGCACCCTTTGAATACTTAACGTCAAAAGATCCGATTTTTAAAAGTTGTAGACTGTTACAATTTATTTTAAAATTTAATAGTGCAGTAGAATAAATAAATCTAAAGGTACGTACATATCTGCGTATTCTGGTTATATAGGTATAAGCAGTTGAAAGTCCATTTGACATGCATGTGAATGACCAGTGGAGAAGGAATTGTTTCCACCTAGAATTCCGTTAAGAAATTCCTATTATAACTACTGTAGGATTCTTGACCTCAATACTTTCTGAGAGATTTACCAAGAATAACTATGACAATTAACTATGAGAAACATTGAAAGCAGATCACATTTCCTGGAAGATATATTAAAGGAAAGTTTTAAGAAGCTACTGCAGTCATCTAGTATGTTTATCGTTCATTCGCAGGATTATTGGGGTTCAGGTTTAGGTAGTAAGGCACATGGTTTGCAGCATAACATTGTTGTTGTTTGTGGACGGGAGTCCCCTCACTGTGCCCTTCTCTGCAAACTTGATAATGTTATAGCTGATGTCATCAACAAGGCTTATTGACGGGACTCGATAATAACCAGCGTCTTGGAAAACCTGCAACATTCCTGCGACTGCGCCTGCGACGAGTGGGGACGCCATTGACGTCCCACCTATCTCAAGCCAACCGTAGTTGTGTGCGTAATAGGCGGCCCTTATTTTCGTCCCTGGAGCGTAAATGTCGACGCACGGTCCAATGTTACTAAATGAAGCCACGTAATCATTTATATCGGTGGCGCCAACTGTGAGGGCCCATCTTACGCTTGCCGGGGATTTATAACATGCATTGTACTTGTGTTCATTTCCAGCAGCGACAGCCACTGGTATGCCTGCATACAATACAGCATACACGGCGTCATTCATATAGGATGAATACCAACCACTCAGTGACATATTCACAACTGATAGACGCTTGTATCGTTGAACCCGTGACTTTATCCAGTAAAGTCCTTCCACGATATCCGAATTAAAGCAACTTTTAACATGAGCGCATACCTTGACGGGGATGATGTTCACCTCCTTGGCTACTCCATAGGTGGCGCCTCCAAGGGTACTGGCCACATGGGTACCATGGCCATCGTAGTCTCTACTGTTGGAAAAACGACTTGCATGCCAGCCTGAAATAAAAAATAACTAACGAGGCTAGGCCTTTTTTCTTCTATCTCATGTATTCATTTTATCTTTCCGCCCACCCACTGAGAATAAAATCGGATTCCAAGTGACTCCAAACTTGGATTCCAGCAGTGGTGCCTAAAATAACTCCCAATTGAAGTCAAGTTGACTCCAATGGAGTAACGCAATCTCAGTCCCCACAAGAGGGTCACAATTGACTCCATTCACATATCCCTTGATTTACCTCTACAAAAGAGTCACCATGACCCCATATTAAGGAATTTTGCTCCTTGGTACATTATGNCCGACGTCATATAAATAGGAATCCTTCCTCCGCCAACACATGATATCATTTTTATACCCTTTAGTTTGATTAATTGACTGTTAATTAGTAAATCATGCATTAATCTAAAAACATTCTGATGAACAATTCAAGTAGACAGGGAAAGGGAAAAGAAGTGATAGCATGCATCGTAAAAAATCCAGGTCTTCAGTATCTAAATAACATTAATTTTTTCGCCTATCTAAAACAGGGATATGAGATTTTATATCTTATATCTTTTCTTAAAGCCCTTATATAAAATGACTCAAAGCAATGTGCACTCACAAAGGAGTCAGGCAGATAAACTATAAAACGTCAACAAGTTATACAAGCGCACAAAACAAAATATATGTATGAATTCCCTCAAACTAACAAACTCTCGACCTCGGTCCTCTATAGCTGTTATAAAATTGGTTAAATGACTTTCGACCAATTTAGAAACTAACTCAACAGCTGGAGAGGGCCTGTGGAAGAGAGTAACAGTTACCCATGTGGTGTCCGCCGGGAAATACCCTTCACAATGACTTCGATCAAGCGACATTTTTTTATCTTGTTCGATCTCATCAAATACGTCAGTAAGCTGGCGAAGCTTTTGGAGGTCACTGTTGAAAATTTGAAGAACTTCAGCAACAGTAAAACAACACACAAATCTGGACTATATATATATATATATATATATATATATATATATATATATATAAAGCTCGTTTGTGTGGAATGTCTCCCGAAAAAATTAAAATTGATAAGTTGTATATGTGGTATCTGTAAAATCATATTGCATAAATATGTAAATGAAGATATCATAGACATTGTATTAAAGATTCAAATAATCAAATTCTTCATAATAGCTATTTCGTTAATAAAAATACCATTATAATCTGAACTAAATTAAAACTTTTAGTTGATATAGAATGAGCTAACATGTCATACCTAGCACTTATATTCCTCAGTATCACGTAGTTATCTTTGTTGTTGAACTTCACTCTTTTTTGGGAACCTCTTCCTTTCAAGATTTTGCGAACTGAAATGGTGTAAAATCGACAGTTTTTGTAACTGTATAATTAGTATCTTGATTATATATATATATATATATATATATATATATATATATATATATATATATATGTCGCAGACTCAGTCCTAATGCAAGCATATTCTCAATCCACTAATCCTAATATGGCATAATGCATTAATTGTTAAAAGCAGCAAAATGCCATATCCACTTCAGTTCCACTTGTAAGTAAGGCCTGCTTGCCATATAACTTGATCAAAGAAAGCAGATGAAATGGAATATTCCATTTAAACCATTAGCAAATATACCACTGCAAAGGACACTAACACAAACTGGCCTCCATCTGTAAATTAGCCTCTAAACTGTAAATTAATTACATGCACCTTTCTTATTAGATCCTGCTTTTAAAAGTGCAAATTATGCTCAATTATATATGAATCTGTCTGAATTGGGACTGGTGACCTTGTTACATGATATGAGAAATTTCCCATATCAAAATGTTATTTTTTTTTGTATGTACTTAAAGGTGAAACTCTTTTTTTTGTCTACTTACAAGTGAAATTCTGGTAATCTACTGGTAACCGTCTTCTAACCTGTAAATTAGTTGATATATAAAGTCGTGCTGCTTTTAATTATAAACGCATTATGCCATATTGAGATTAGTGGATTTAGAATATACCTGGATCGGGACTGGGCCTGGGATATATATATATATATATATATATATATATTGGTTATAATATAAGGGTTAATAATGGATTTTTGGCACATAAAAGTGATAGGTAATAAACTGCATTACACCAGAGAGTGGACACATCCGCATGCAGGTAATAATTTGTTATGTGCATACATGTATGTTTTACTTACTTCCTTGTCAGATAAATCGCCCTAGATTATCACCATCTATTTGTATGGAAATTGGGTTCATTTTTTTTTTTTGTTTGTTTGTTTTTTGGCTTAAATCTATTCCACAAATATATTTTTGGTTGGGTAAAACAAATGTATCGTTTAGTAATAAATAATCCACTAGGTTACGAACTTAGCTGAACATGTCTCTTTTGTGCTTTTCTGAGGCATAAATACAAAACTTAGCATACCAACGTTATTCTGATAGAAACCACAATCCATTCCCCATTTGAACAGATGCCATTCGTCCCATATGCTAACCCCAATACTTCGACTATAACCTTTTTTTTTAAATAAATTTTCTAGTCTTCGTTGTACAGAACGATATAAAAATGAAGCTAATTGTACTAATTGAAATATTCCTAACTTTTTTGTGGTGTACCTACTTTTTCCATACTTTCCACAAGGCTTAAGATGGGCAATATACTGGTTGGGAACGTTAGAACCATCCTTAGCAGTGATCAACGGCACTAGAAAGAATATTTATAAAATATCAATTACCAGCGGTACAAGAATACACGTTAATGATTTAACATACTTACGACAAATAAATTACATCAAACAACAGTGTCTCTAGAAATCCAAGGTAATAACAAAAACTTTATTAAATCAACTATCAATGTGATATAATATACTTATAAATACATATTACAAATGTAAAGTGATAACTAAAACTTTGATACTTAGAGATGGAAAAATAGGCATGAAAAATACACAATAATGATAAAAGTGTAAGAAAATCTCTGTCTAATTATTCTTATCATATACCAGGTCGTATACCACATATAAGTGATATTGGAAAATAAATTCACACATGATAGTAAATATCAACAACGAAAATGCAATATAATTGACGCACAATGTGCTTATAAATTCCAACAGTCCAACTGTTTGAAATATGAAATATTGGTAAATTTTAGGCAATATCTGACAAGAAATATTTAAGATTATAAATACCCAGTGATAAATACCCTTAATTTAAATTAAAATTGGATTTGCGAAGCTATATGAAGAATTGTGTTTCACGCATATCGAATTTTTCTGTTTAATTCTTTTTAACCCTTATCATAAATTACGCATAAATTGGCATAGGTATAATGTTTGCGACAGAAGCAATAATGGTGAGCAAAATATCAAATGGAGAGCCACCGGTCACTCGCCCAGACTTTGGTAAACTTTGCTGTAAGATTGAATTAGACTAGTGAGTATATGACAAAACTTTCTTTTGCATGACAAATGTTTGAAACTTACCTAAACCTTTCCCCTCGGAGATGTCTATCAATCCCTTTTCCTTCATCAGCTTTCTCATTTCTGCGGGGTTTTCCTTCTTCATGTTCTTTAGTCTTCGGTTCTCAGGAATTTTTTCCTTCTCAAACTTCATTCCAGGTGGTATCTTGTCTGTGTCATTGGCATCATTGGTATCATGGGCATTCACCTGTTCTAACGCTAAAAGAGCCAAAAGCATGGAGGCAAGAAATAGAGACAATTTCATGGTTGCGTTTCGTCTCTCAAATTGGCCGTCTCACCGTGGTCAGCTTTGAAGAATGTATTCAACCTGAGCAAATCACGACCCGTTGATCACTTCTTTCACCAGACCCAATATTCGCTTGAGTCCGTTTAAGATTAAGCTTCGGATTCGACGACTTATGTACATCATTCAAATGTCACCTTGTTAAATAAAGCACGAAAAACGCGTGGTTTCAGTCCATTAAATGACGCGTGGTAGAACCGTAACTTATTAGGTATGGAGTCATTTGTTCCAGGTGTGCGCCGCGATGAATCATTGTAAAGAGTTACCGATTTTGTTGTAAAATAAAATTAGTTGAAATAAAACAAAATAAAATAGTGCACACTCTGTTTTGGGGGCAGTCTCTCGGTTGAAGGTGTATTTATAGGTTTTTTTAAAAAAACTATCGGTAGGGGAACTAAGTAACAAACAATTAGATTTGACTGGTTTATTATGTGTTAATTTATTCGTTTGCCTACCGTTTAGGAACGTCATGCTAAAATTATGGAGTGGTTTCGATTACATTTTCAAGTCAGTTCAGTAATGGGCTAGATTATCGTGAAAATTAATTAATCAATTATTGTGTTGTTAAAGTATATCGATTATTATATGAATTAACTAGTGAGTTGATAATTAAGTTAATAAGCTTTCCGTGGCCCCACAAAAAAAAAAAAAAAAAAAAAAAAAAAAAAAAA